AATTGTATTGTTGATGTAAACAGAAAACTTACTACAATTTCAATTCATTGCATAAAACCTGCTTACCACCTGCCAGATGACATTACTCATTTTCTGTTTTTACCTCTTCCAGTTTCAGCTTCCTTTCTACCTCTAAGAGTGGGCTATTACATACATGTTCCTATTGCATCTATGACCATGTATATATCTGTGCTGCATTGTACTTCATTTTCTGTATTTCACTAGTTTTACATTTTACAATCATTTTTTATATATGTTTTAAATATTTATGACTTCATCATGGTGGACATACTCTGTAGCATTTCGTTCATGCATACGAGAGATATGTCACATCAGCCAGTCAGCAAGAAGTGCACCTGATGTGTATGTTTTACATCACAAACTTCTCTCTGCCCTCAGAAGCTTTGTTGGCGAGTCTACTGGGAGAGGAAGGCTGGTACAGTACTCCCAGCACAATTTATGTTTCTATGTATGAATGAAATTTACTGTTTTCCATTTATATTTATTGTGTTCTTTTTTCTATTTTCTTATATTATTAAATAATTTTGAAGTTTTTGTTTTTGGTTTCTTAAGATAAGCAATAAAAGTAGTCATTCAAAGTAAGGAAATAATAACTGTGTGATTTTATTTCATATGTAGATTAAATTATATTTTTATACTTAAATCCTGTTCCATGCTGCTGCATTAAAATACAGGAGTCTAAATAATGTAACTCATGTTCAAATGAGCTCTAGAGATAAGAACATTTTTTAGTCTCATAGTATGAAACCATTCTAGCAGAGCTGCCCAACGTCTCTCAATTGCCTATCCCTTTTGCACTCCCTTGAAACATTTTTTACTTTTTACTAGTTCTTTATCTTTTTTTAAGCAAATTGCACAATGATGTTTTGAAAATCCCATTTTAAAAGCTGCTTCTCCTTGGCATTATTTACCAAATGTATTATAATCGTTCAGCAATTTGTTTTTCTGTCAGGCTTAAATCATTTCATTATGGCATTTTGACATGTTACAAGTTACGCACAGATCAAATAAAAAACAGTTTTTTCCCGGTAATTTGTTCAAATCCAAAACTGGTTTCTTGCCGACAGGAAAATTGCATCATTGTCTGTTAATTCTTCCTGTCTCTTGTAGCCGTAATCGCATCCTTCAATACTTTTCTTTTTTCATCGGCCTGAAACAATCACTTTCCTTTTCCAATCAAAAGACTGATAATGAGGAAAAATGCAAGGATTTCATGATGTTTTCTGAAAACACTGTGCAAACTTAATTCGTGTGTGAACGTATACCCCCAACAGGCTGTTGTTTTAGAAACGGAACAATTGTTCGCTTCAGCATCACCTAACCTTAAGTTCTGGGAAACACTCATTTATTTATAATGAAAGAATTTGGTTCCAATGGTCTAGAGGTCTGCTTTTGATAATCATGAGTTAAAGTTATTCTGTTGCTGTCAGCCGTAGTCCGGGAAAAGAGACTTGCAGTGTCTGACAGGAACTAGGGAAGGGTACCCCCCTCGGGTGTCTTGATTTTAACTACACTGGACAAAAGCTCTGCTAAAATCTTTTTGTGGGAGCACTGCATGACTGAAATGAACTACAAACAGCTTTTATCATCAACAAACAGTGTATACCAGATCCGAATAGTCAGACTTTCGCCACTTTGAGTTTTATAAGCAGCGGACATAGTTTAATAAATGGCTGTTTTTCTGTTGATTAGTGTATATATTCATTTTGGTTGCTGGAAATTTGAACACAATAAGTAATGAGTTAATAAGACATCGAGTTTAATAAGTGGCTGTTCTTGCCACTTATTAAACTTGATGGCTTATTAACAGTTTGGCAGTTTAAAAGGATATGATTTCATTGTAGATATTTTTCTTTTTTTAATCAGTCTTGATTTATAATTTATTCAAATATGAATGAAATTTACTGTTTTCCATTTATATTTATTGTTTTCTTTTTTCTATTTCCTTATATTATTAAATAATTTTGAAGTTTTTGTTTTTGGTTCATTAAGATAAGCAATAAAAGTAGTCATTCAAAGTAAGGAAATAATAACTGTGTGATTTTATTTCATATGTGATATTAAGGGATTTTCTGTTCAGTGTTTAATGTCAAAGCTTAGTCTGCATCAAATGTATTTCTTTCAAATTTTAAACTCTTTTGTTAAAAGTTGTGCAAATTATCCCTTATATGTTTGTACTGTTTTTACTTGCATATTTTTGTTTTCAATCTATTTTATCAATTAAAAATAAAAGGTTATTGTGTGGTGTATAATATTTCTGAAGATGGCAATTTTAAACAGGGTTGCCACGCTACCTGGAAAACCGGAAAAAGTCAGGGAATTCGGAAATTGACCAAAAAATTCAGGGAAAAGTCAGGGAATTTAAGTGTTTTAGTCAAAATCTGGAAAAGTCAGGGAATTTCATACAATGATCCCGCCAAAAAAGGCGAGTTTTGCGCCGACGTTGGAAGAGATCACTTTTTTGGTGAATTGTGTATCACATGAGTGTCATTCGGGCAGCTGGCATAGAGCCAATTTTCACAGCTCCAATTTGATTGTCTATTAGAAAGGCAAATCAAGTTTCCCGCAACTTTTGGTTCCATTAACCTCGAGAATCGCATGTGCAGTGCATGAACTAAAGAAAGTACCTGTTCTCGTATAAAACAAAATGGGTTTAATCCTAGTATACGGTACCATGAAGGTTAGAATCAAAAAATGTATTGTAAAGAAAGAAAAACCTCTCTGCAACAGACGTGGCTCTGTTCGATCGTAGAGGGAAACAGCTGTGCATGCGCGATATATCTGTCGCCAAAGCTCGAAACCGGTGGCGAAGTTCGAAAGTCACGTTATCAAAAGTTCATAAAATAAATATTGTTTAAAATTTCTTTAAACTCTAAAGGAAAAGAAAATATTTTTTGGCGCAAGTAAATTAATTCATGGATTAGTTATTTGGGGGGGAAACTATGAAAATCTGTTTTTAAAATTATTGCGAAAAATCCAAGAAAAAACGTTCTTTGATAAAACCTTTCTTCTTCGATTTTTCGCAATAATTTAAAAACGGATTTTCGTAGTTTTCTTTTTTGTCAAAGAACGTTTCTTCTTAAAACGTTTCTTTCTAACGTGTTTCTCAACTTCCTGTACACATCGCGGAGAGGGAAATTCTGGCCGCCAGGTTCCGTCGCCAAATCCCTTGGCAAATTTTACCTCCGCTTTCTAGCCGCGTAATAGCATTTACATGTATGGAACCTTTTCTTCTTTACATAGACGTTCTTTGGTTAGAATAATCTCCATGTATGGTACAGCGGGATTTGGCGACATGATGATGAGCAGTAAACGAGTCAATTTGTTCTTGGTGACAATTTTCAAAATCGTGCGAAGACCATACCGTATACTAGATTTTACCTTTTTTTTTTTTTTTTTAATTTACTTTTTTTTAAAAATCTTTTTTTTCTTTTCTTTTTAATAAATACCTTGTCATTTTGCAGTTAAATAAAAAAAATAGTAATCAGTCATCTAGGCTAACCATGTAATATAACTATATTCGCTAAAATATCGTTGATTATTCTAATTCAATTTTTAAGTAATTATCTTTATTTTTATGTTATTCATATCATTTAATGTTGCTTCTTCCCTCTAAATTTATTTATCATTAGTAAATAATATTTCCAAATTTCAGGAAATTTTCTCTGCCATAATCCTGAAATTAATTCTAGCAGTATGATGACATCACGAAATTTAATGCACATATTTTTTCCTTATGTATTCTGCAAAATAAATATAAAATACCTCGATTTAGTAAAAAAATATCATTAAATAGATTTCTTTCTTTCATTTAACTGCAGAATGTCTGCAAAAAAAGCCGTATTTTATTCCAGATTGGGGAGATTCGAATCTCAATCTTCAGTGGAGAAAACAACTCCTATTATAATTATATTTGTGTTTTCAAGTGTTAAGGTGCCTTTTCAGAAGATACCTCACACAAATTAAATTTACCTAAAATCTAACCTAACTTTTACCATTGCGTTGTGATTTCTAAGAACCAGATTAGCCTCATGTTGAACTGGTGATGATCATGAGTAATAATTAAATAAAACGTACAATTGTGATCCAATGTATATATCTTAAATTTTATCAAGTTTCTTAAGTGGAAAAGTAAACAAAATTATCAAACAAAGTGTACCAAGAATAATTAAGAATAAATGCCCTGCGAGTTATTGAATAATTAAGTGAATTTGCTACACAGTACAAGTAATACCATAATTAATTTACCTCTTAGCACAGCCAACGTACATTACGCGGATAGACTGGAATTTTCTCGAAACATACCTGGAAAAGTTAGGGAATTTCATTCTCCTGTTTGAGTGGCAACCCTGTTTAAAGTAAGCTGGTTTAAAAAAGATCATAATAAATACATTGATATTAATATGTAGATTTCAAAGAAATCGGTTACAGTTGCTCTGTCTTCAACATTTTTCTTCTACACTGTGCATCCTTTACTTCTGCATATCCATCCATTTAACTGTGGATGGAACAGAATTTTTTTAACTACATAATTTTAGTCTTAAGGTTTTAATTACTGATACATAATAATAGAAGGATCAAACGAAGAACATACGAAGAGTCTTATTTTCTGAATTTGAGAGGGAGAACGTTGTCCATTGTGTAAGTAAAATATGCAAGTAAATAGTATATATCTGTTTTTCCCAAAAGTCTAAACCAAGATGCACATGGTTGCTTTGAAAAGTGTAAGGGATTTCTAGAAGAAATTAGTGGAAGTAAATAATTAATAGATATATGCAGCTGTAGCAGTTAACTGATTATTGTTAATTTATATGTAATTACAGATAAATATCTGCATGATAAAGAATGCTTCACATTTCTTCATGACCATGCCAAAAATATGGCGAGACCTACTCTATAATAGTCACTGCTGTATTTGAAATCTAATAATCCCTAAATTTATGCTGTTATATTTCATTTTACACTTTCAATTGTTACAGGTTTAGCGACATCATTTTTTAATGAAAGGAACAGAAACATGGCACTTGATCTTGTAGAACTGATCACTGAGACTAAACAAGAATTACCAGAGTGGCTTTCTGTCTTAGCTAAAGAAGTTCAGATGGAACAACGCTGTAACTCTGGCTCTCGAAAATACTCAAGTGGAAAAAAGTAATTTTTTATCACTATCTCTAATTTTATTTTAGTTTTAATTTTATTTTCACTTTTTAATTGGCTGTGTTTTTAATTCTTTGTTTATTTAATTCTTTTAATAAGGATTCGTTATGCCTCACCCTTGTGTGGGTGGGTGGGTGCATGCATGTATGTGTATGTTTTTATTCAAGATTTATACAAGTTCTGAATGAATGAATAGCTATACTGTCAGCAGAAATTTCTTAAAGTTGTGGACATAATCAAGGTCTTGCATTTTTAAAGATTTTTGTTGATAACAAAAACATTTGCTCGCATGTCAGCTGTTTTCATCCCACTCGTTCCAACTATTTTTTTCCCACGACTCTCACCTGTAGGAGGCGTTTGCTCCTGTGATGAGAGTAGGGGTAGGGTAATATATGTTGCAGGCAGACTTTACTTACTACAACAGAAGACTTCTCAGAATTGTAATCACTACTGTAAGGACTCAAAAGCTTCATACAATTGAGACAAAGATGAAAATAATTAAACATTTTGAAAACTGAATATTTTGCTTCTGTCTTCAGTAGGACATTATCTTCAAAGATTGTTTCCAAAAGATACAGCATAGTGATGAATGAAGTCAAAAGATCCTCATCATCATGGATTGATGATCGGCATCAAAATAATGTCTGTGTGGCAACTGACAGGCCATCAAGGCAACTGACAGAGAAGGTGAAACAGCATTAACAAATTTATGGAAGAACTATATTAAATGGAATGCAAAATAAAAAAATATTGGAGACTCGTGGTCTGAAAGACACATTGAAATGTTCCTCGAAACAATTATACCAACAAATGATGACTCATTTTTATAAATTTTTGAAGAAATACTGTAAGCTAAATCAATATGAAATAGCCTAATGAATGAACTATACATGCCTGTCAGCAATCAAGATATTAATGAGTTGACTGAATCTCACTCAACAATAGCAGCAAAAGTGTGGAAGAACCTGATAAAAACGACCAGCCTTTGACAATTAAAAATATGAACGAATCCTTCATACATCTTGACAAATTTTTTATTATCATGGAAGAATGCAATCCCAGTAGAGAACGTATCTCAAGTACATAGGGCAGTTGAGAAAGACACAGCATGTTATAGAAATTTTTATGAGGAAATCTTTTTTGAAAAAAGGTGGTATTCAATTAATCTTGACAAGTTTATGAAGAAAATAACCCCAAATCACTTAAATACATCATTATATATACATATTAATAAATATTATAAAAAAATTTTTGATGCGTACTTTTTTGCATCCCTTTACTTTCAAAAGTCGAGTTCTGCCTTGATAGGCAAAAGGGATCTCTTTTCATTTTCACTCCATATTATTTAAAATGTATTCCCAATCTTTTTCTTATATCAACCCTTTTTGAAAGAATAATTTTCTTCACTACCCCCGTTATATTTTCCTCTAGAATACCAGTACAATACAGAATACCAGAACAAGAATAATACCTCTAGAATACCAGAACAATATAATACCAGTACTAAATAACTCAATGTGGTGGCTTCACTCGATGTATTGATACAATTTTTGAAATATTTGACATAAAATTACTTGCTTTCTTTAATTCTTAAATAACCTTACTCAAAATTATTTGACCTGATTTTTGTTTTCTGTTGTGAAATATTGACTTTGAATAAAGTTGGTTCTACTAGTCACAATAGTACAAGTTCTGTAACAGCTTTTATGTTGGGATACTATTCTCTGGTGTTTTTGGAATTCCAAAGCTTAACGTATCTATGTTGTTATATGAATAAAACTTGTGCTTGCACATCCTCCTTCAGTGCAGTGAAATCTTTTCATATCATTATGTCAAGCCCAAACATATTGCAGTTTAGTAGTTTAGGAGCCATGTTAGCAGTTGAAATTTTCTCAGGAACAAACATTAAAATCTAAAATTTTGCAAGGGCTTGTGTATAAAGTGATCTTCGTGTTTTTTGGTTTTGTTTTCTTGTATTCCTGCATTTTACTTTTTTATACTGCTTATTTCCATAAAAAATCTATAGATTTAAAAAAAATATATTGATTTTTAAAATTTAAAAAAATGTGTGTCCTTACATTTTTTTCAAAATTAAAAAAAAATTTTTTTTTAATTTTAATTGATTTTTAAAATCCCCCCTTATAGTTATTTTATAATTTCTTCCTTACTACATGGCATAGCTTTATATCAACAAGAAATAAATTATCAGTTTTACAGTATTAATAATTTGTTGTAATCATGGGATCTTCATTCTGTGGAATGAAATCAATTGCCTGTGTATATTTGACAGTTGACTCCTTAAGCATCGTTGGATTCCCTTTAAAATTTTGACCTTCCCGGGGGGAGGGGTACGTACTGACCCCATTGGAAAAGGCTGGTTTAAATTAACGTATAACATAAATGTCTGAGAAGTATAACTTGTGATTGAAATTTTTACGAAATCTCAAATTCTGTGCATTTTGTAATTAATAATTTTTACAAGCTTCTAATTGTATTCCTATCTTTAACATTTAAATAATTTCTTTTTTCTATTTTTACTTTTATTTTAACAAGGAATAATTAATCTATTTAATTTAGATTTTAATAAAGAATAGAAAATTGCACTATTTGCTCTGTAGGTGTGCTAAGTGCAGCAATAACTTCAAGGTTTATAGCACCAAAAGGCTGAAAATAAATAAGTGCAGGTTAGACAAAGTGTAATACGAAATATTTATCAATGAAAAATATGTAGATTTTTCACACTTCAAAACAGAACTATGCTGTAAAGAAATGGTAAAGGAATAAGATTAGAAATTTATGATTAAATACTACTTATGCATGCTTCCAAAAAGCCAATTGTGAAATCTTCTTGGTAAGGTTCACCGTTTCTCAAGGGACATATATCTCCAGCCATTTGAGGAAATTCAACTTGTGTTTTTCATGTCTTGCAAGCACAAATTAGGATAACTAAATATCATAATTTATGCCTAATATCTCTGCATATATATATAGGGAGAGAGTATTTTAGCATGAATTTTGACACCAAGTTTTGGGGCTTTTTTACAAATGACAATATTTTTCTATGTTTTGAGATTCAGATTATGTCTAAAAACCAAATTTTGTCAGAACATTACTAATTAATTCCAAATATAGTTTGTTGCAATTTTTCACTTTCCGCCAAGAGTTTTTTCATGTGATGATCTCAGTTTAAGTTAACCGTTTCACTTTCCCTTTCTTTCTGAATGTATGGAAAAGAAGTCTAATTCCTTCTTTCTTGGAAATTACCTTATTTTATATTTTTTAACCACTGTTGTTATTCTGTTTTTTTTTTTTTTTATGATTTTTATTCTGTTTTTAGCTGTGTGGTTGAATTATATGTATTTTAAAAATTTATCTTTATTCATTTAAGCATGTTTATTCATACAAATATTTTTGAAAACAAATAATACTGATTATATATATATTTGGGTGTAAATACTGATTTTATTTCAATATCATTTCTTTTTAAAGCATCCTTGAACAAATATATAGTATTGCTCTTAGTGCCTTTAAAAACTGCATTCTGTGTTAATGTTTGAAGCACAGTAATAAAGCATGGTAATAAAAGACGGTTGATATTTCTTTCAATGGGATATTCAGAAAAGATGCATAATTTAATAATAATTTAGAATGATAAGCATAGTTTTTCACAGGTCTATCACTGCCATTGCTGTACGCAGTTTTATGATCCTATATTTAATTTATAAAAAAAATATCCATATTTCAAGAAAAGTTCAAAATTTTCATTTAAAAAAAAAATTTTTTTTTTGTATTGTAATATTTTTTTATCTTGTCTTGAATTTTTCTTCTTTAATCTCTTATTGCCTGAAGAAAATATTAATACCTTAATGATTTTCTTGTGTCATTCTGCAGATATATCTGCAATCATTCTTCTTTTTTTTTTTTCTTCCTTATATATGATACCCATTATTGAAACAGCTTGTTTTCTGTGACATAGATGTGTTGTCTCACCTTTCATCAGCATTTGGTCAGAATAAAATAGTGAGGGATTTTGTTCGTGATTATTAACGTCTTTGGAGGCAAGGCATTTTTAAGCAGGAGATGAAACAAGACTAATTTCATCTAAGTGGAAAAAATTTGTACCTGATACCCACACTGGATAAATTCTTGAATCTTGAATAAATTGGAATGACTGAACTAATAGTACAGCTTTTCATGATAAAGACTTCTGGGTTTTGCTGACAGTGTGCTAAATCCAAAGAAAATTATTTGAGTGAAACATTTATAAGGATTTTACATAATTTTTTTTTTTTTTTTTTTTTTTTTTTTTTTTTATTTTTAGGAATAGAAAAAAATATGTTTAATGTAAGAGTTCCAGAGAATTAAATTCCTCTATGGTTAAGCAAGTTGCTAAAAAAACTCATTTCAAGAGTTTATGTTTTGAGCATTAATAGAAGTCCGTATAAATTCATTCGCCATTGGTATATTTTAGTTAGGCACTATTTACCTTGAAGTTCAGGATAAATAACAATTCGGAAACTGCAGCCAAAGTAACCTGACTTACCTGTTTATAAATTTCAGTATGGTTAGATGATCTGTTCAAAGTATCCTACATTACATATACACAACATTTGAATACTGTTAATAAGTCCTTTTTCTGATTATAGGCATAATGTAGGTCAAAGAATTTTAAGCATACTTCTTAGCCATAGTTTACATATGAACTTTATCATTTCCTATTGTAAATATGTTAAAAATGATGTTTTTTATGATATGATAATTGTGTGTTACAGTCATTGTTATCTCGCTGACATTTTTTTCTGATGAGATTTCACATTCAGTTAACAATTAAGCAGTTTTGACATATTTATGTAATTTTATTTTTATTTAATCATGTATATATTGATATTGGTACTATGATTCTTTGTAAAGGTATGGCTCTGGAGGATTTGGTTCTAGAGATTATCGTCAGTTTGGTAGTACTCGTGAAAGGAATAGTGGACCAAGAAATTCTAGTGCTAACAGTTACTCTGCTCAGAACTATGGATATGGAGGAAGTCAGTATCCTAACCAATATAAAAGTAACTATGGTGGTGCTTCATCCAATGACTGGTGGGGCAGCTAACTGTTCCAATTATGTAATTTTCAAAGTTCTTAGTTTAATTTGCATCACAATGTGGTTATTTCCTCAATTAAAGTTGAAAGATTTTTCTCACAAGTTATCTTTCTGGTATCCACTTATTTATGTTTTACAGGTTATCTGCATCTTATGCTTTTTGTATTATATGTGGATAAATTAGTTTAATTATATTATTTAAATGAAATATGAGATGAGTCATAAAAAACTTTTTTCTTTCTAAACATGCTTGCATAATACAAAAAATAATAGTTTCTTTTGTATGCTTCATAAGAATAATTTGTATTTCAATTTGGGTCTAGTTATCTTAGAAATTATATGATTTTTATAATAAATAATAGGGAATTAGTTCTGATTTTAAAATGTATTGATTTTTGTGGCTTATTTTGGGATTAGCCATATCATTCCTTTTTTGTAATTTTTTAACTATGCACATCAAGACATCAATGCTCAGATTTGTGAAAGTTTTGCACTGAAATGAATGCCAGTGACTCTTAAATCTGTTTCTTGTGATGGAACTTAATATATATATATAACATTTATGAAATTTTATACATATATAGCTCATACATAATATAATCTTATTTATGTAGTTTGATATTTTTAAATGTAAAATTAGACTTGAGGAAATAACTTACTTGGTCATTCAATTATATATTTGAAATATGAATGGCCTAGCTAGTATCCATTTCACTATTATTTTGAAGTTTTAATTTATCTGGTTTGAATATTATCTGGGAAAATACTTATATAACTAATGGGCTTTATTGTGGTATCACAACGGTTCTATTTTATGGAAATACTGAATATTCATTTCAGAATCTAGTTCAATTTTATGTTCTTTCCTTTCTGTGACTTATAGTTTTATTTATGCTCTTGTCAGTAGATGTGTACTTCTTATAAAGCTTTATGTATGCAAATTGTTTTAGTCTAATTGTATGATAAGATTCTCTGAAAACATATTGATAAATTATTATATTGTGGTGCAAAGACTAAATCTGTAGTTCAAGTTCTTGCATTTTTGTGACTTTTATGTTTACATCTTTGTTTCTTTCCTAAGCTCTGATTTCGCAATGCTGTCAAAGAAACATAATTGTAAAAGTATTTTAAATATACTACATTAAGGTATTTATTGTTAAATGAAAAGTATGTCAAGAGGACTTGAATAGAAAGGCATATGTAGAATTTGTATATTCTTATATTGCTACTGAATTACATTTTGTTTTCCTTTTAACCCCCAAAATGCAGTATATGATCGTTATAGATTATAAATCGCATTTTACTATCTAAAAATGATATATAAATATTGTTATCTTGTTTCTGGATGTAATAGTTTTGTCTTCTATGTTGTGTTAGACTGTTATATTGAGTACTAAAAAAAAATTCAAAGAATGCTATGCATTATGTTTCTTGGAACATAGCTATTGACTGATAGTATTTCATTAATAATACTCATGTTATTCTAGTGGAAACATAATGGTCTTCTTTCAATTCACTTATTTTCGTGTGAAAGTATTTAATGCCAAGAAAAAACAAAAAATATTGAGATTAGTGGGTAATAATTTTTTTCTGCAAGTGACTAATTATATTAAAAGGTCCTGAATCCTTATTTATTTAAATAATTAAGTTTTAGTCATATGTGAAGAAGAAACAATGAAAATATTGAGACAAGTGTAATAAATTTTTTGCGTATAAATGACTATAATGATATTTATAATCCTGAATAATGTTATACTTGTATATTTATATAATGAAGGGTTAGTCATATGTCAAGAAGAAATGCAAGTGAAAATATTAAGACTATTGGATAATAATTTTTTTGTATAAATGACTAAAATTGTTAAAAACGTGAGTCACGCAATGCTCAGTTATTTATGTCAATAAGTTTTAGCCATATATCAAGAACAGACAAAAATATTAGAACTAATTTTTTTTTTTTTGTATATATCTGTATATAATGCTTTTTAAATCTTGAATTATGTAATACTCATTTATTTAAATCATTCAGTTACATGTTAAGAAGAAACACAAATAAAAATATTGAGATTAGTGGATAATAAATTTTTGTATAAGTGACTGATTATATTTAAAATCTTGAATCATGTAATACTTGCTTAAGTCATTAAGATTTAGTTGTATGTTAAGGAGAAACAAATGACAATATTAAGGCTAGTGGGTATTTTCTTTTTTCTTGTATGTGTGTAAAATGACTATAATTATGTTTAAAACCCTGAGTCAGATTTGTTTAAAACAGTTAAATACATGTTAAGGAGAAGCAGAAATGAAAATATTGAGATTAATGGATAATAAGAGTTTTTGTATAAATCACTAATTATGTTCAGAAATCACTAAAACTTCTGAATCATATAATACATTTATTTAAATCAGTCATATGCCAAGAATAAAGAAATGAAAATATTGAGAATAATGGAATAAATTTAGTTGTTTACTTAAACTATTTAAGTTTTAGTCATATGTCAAGAAGAAACACAAATGATAATGTTAAATATTTTTTGGTGGGTATAAAAGATTATACTTCAAATCCTGAGTCATATAATACTAATTTATTTTACTCATTTATTTAAATCATTTAGTTACATGTTAAGAAGAAATGCAGAGGGAAATATTGAGATTAGTAGATAGCAAAGCTTTTGTATAAATGACTGAATATATTTAAAATCTTGAACCTTGTAATACTCATTTATATAAATCATTAAGTTTTAGTCATATATCAAGAAGCAAATAGAAATATTGAGACTAGTGGTTGTTGTATATGAGTGACTATTGTTATATTTAAAATTCTGAATAAGGTAATGCTAATTTATTTAAATCAAGTTGTAGTCATATGTCAGGAAGAGGCAAATGAAAATATTAAGGCTAATGGATAATACTTTTTTTATGTAAGTGACTTTGATTGTATTTAAAATCTTGAATCATGCAAAACTCATTTAAATAATTTAGATTTATACCAAGAAAAAACACAAATGAAAATATTGACTAGAAAATAATAAATATTTCATATAAATGACTGTATTGAAAATCCTGAACTTTATTTAAATCATTAAGTTTTAGTTATCCTTTGTTGTAAATGAAGATAATTTAATCCTCGTTTATTTGAGTGCTTTGTTTAAGCATAAAAATTTTTAATTGTACACTTTTATTAGTATGCCTTTTGTGCCAAGAGCCAGTAAGCTTTATATTTTATAGCAATGATATATTTATTTTCTGTGATATGTGTATGGTGAATTTGATAAATTTATCCTTCAGACTCGTAAAATAACTTTTATGTTTATCTGTCAGTGTGAAGTTGTATGTTTGTGTATTTAAATTTTCCTTTATTTGATTTATTTTACAATTAAAGTTAAAAAAATTTTTAACGTTATCATAGGCGTTTATTCAGTTAATTTATCTGTTATTTGTACTAAATAGTACTAAGTACTATTCATACTAAGTACTACTACTATTCGTAATAAGTACCAAATAGTTCGTTAAGTGATCCAAAGAATTTCAGATATTTAAATTATTAAGTATGGTAATTTTATTTAGCTTATACATGTTGTTTCATTTGCTATAATTGTGATAATTTTATCTGTGCTAAATGGTGTTATTTCCACAACTGTATACAATAGTATTTTGAAACTTTTGTTTCTGACAAATAATTTACATAGTTTATCTGTAAATATAAGTTTGTGTGTGATGTCATCAATCATGTTTGTTTTCATGAAGAAATTTTATTTTAAATCTTTTGTAATTTGGAACTTTTCGATTTAACTGTATTTAAGGACAAAACTTGTACTAATGCTTTTGTCTTCCCTTCTTCTTCCTCTAATTATAATTGAACGTAATGATATACTCTGAAATAGCAAGACAAGCCTGAGCATTGCTAGCAGAGTAGCCTGCAGATAAGTCTCAACAGTACTAGTGTGATAATTTATTTTGTGTAATTCTCTTTTTATTTTTAAGATGTGTTTGAAGTAGCCTTATTGCATAAATACATTTTGATAATTTTATCTTATAGCAGTTCCAAGTTTGAATCTTCAAGATTCTAAAAGCTAATAAATGAACACTTATGACTATATGCCTTTAAAGCAATTAATTGGAATCATTTCATTTTAACCCTCTAAGTGCTAAAACATTTTAGATTCATTTGCATAGCCTTTATTATATTAATGTATCCAGGTATTGATCTAATAGCATTCAGTTTACAAGAAGATTTCTGTATCATTAAAGAAAGTATTTTAAAAAACAATGTAATATAAAGTGAAAATAAATCTATAAACATATATATATGGTCAAGCCACTTAGGGGGTTAAGGAAATGTTTCTAGATTATATGCAATTGTGATTTTAATATTGCCTTCCAGAAATGAGCATTCTGTCATTGTCATTTATAACACTATGAATTTTGTATTGTACGATATTAAGTATTTAAAAATCTGTGTTCCAAAATAAAATTTTACATATAATTTAGTTTTATTTATCTAAGAGTACATTTAAATGTACTCTGCATAGAGAATAAGGAACAGTGAATTTATCATATTCTTTGTTTGAAAGAATAACATTAATTATTTATCACATTCTGAAAGATGTTGAATGTAAAATCATAGAATAAAATTTGGGAGGGGGATTGGACAAGTGCAGTAAATGTCACCTCCCATACTGTAAGAAAATTTTTCTGAAGTAGTTGATGTGGATGAAGTTTTTGATCCCCTAAAATCAATAAATAAAAAAGTAATGCACAAAATTTTTATCATGAATGTTTTAGCTTTTCTGAAATTCTGTGGTATTATTAACCTTTGAAGTTATGAAATATTGGATGTTATAATCACTTGAAATTAGTTTTGATGTACAAACCCAGTGTATCTTCCATCATGATGAAATTTATGTCAGGGAATTGATGCAAATTATTTATCTAAACCTCAAGTGCATTAATTTGGTCCGAGTACTTGAATGTAACACTCTAGTTTATCTTTGAATTAGCACTGCTTGAGAATAATTTGTTCAGTGTCATTCACTTTCTATTATAAAGATACATATTTTATGTTCAAAAAGTAAGAATAAATAACTAAGGAAAATCATAGTTATGCGTCATACACTTTTGAAAATATTTCCTGTGATTTGAAGTTAATTTTTTGTACTTATTTGTCTGAATACTTTTCTGGATCAGGCTCTTGTTGTAGTTTAGGAAAGTTGGAAAATACTTAAATTGCATTGACATTATAAATTGCTTTAATTTTTATTTTTAATCTTTCGTACAGTTATAAAATTATGTATTGCACAGTCATAAATTAGGAAATGCTGTGAATATTTTTAAGAGTTAACTGCATAAAGAAAATTTCTGACCTGTTTAAAAGAAAAAGAATGATTAGCAGTTAGTATTTCAATATTGATTTGCCGCGATTAATATAAAGTTGCAATTTACTGCAGCTGAGATAGTTTTGCATCTTGTTCCATATGTAAAATCATAGTAAGCCTCAAATTAAAAAATGTACAATCTGCTTTGTTTTTCTCCTTTCTGGACAAGCAGTGTGTATTCAAAGGTAAGAGAAGAAAGTGTCCTTTTTATAGTGTCCTTGGTGAGAGAGAAATTGGCAAGAGAAAGAAAACTTTGATGAGCATTTTTTGGTATCCTGTATGTTATTTTATACACGTACAATTTACTTGCTATTTACACAGTTTATTTACAACAGCAGTTTTTAATATATACATAAACAAATAATGCTTCATATACATGCATGTATGTACACACATGCCTGGCTTTATCATTTTTGATCTCCTAGGGGATCAGACTAATTGCCACTTGTGATAATAATAGGATTGAGAGCACAGCCTCTGAAATCTGGCACCCTAGGCATCTGTCTATGCTTAGTGAGGGCCCTGTACGTATATATTGAGCAAATGAATTTTAATTTGCTCATTACATCATTGAAGTCTGTTTCTCATTTAATACTTTTCTTGCTACTGTTAAGGTAATTTTTTCCAAAACACAAGTCCATATTTTGGCCATTTAAGACTTTCTTTCAGAATGTAAAATAGCTTTAAATGGGAAAAAAATTACATTATGTTTTTCACACCAGAGGCAAATTCAGAGTAGTAAATAGCATATTTACTTATGTATTTCCCGTGCTTGTTTACTAATTTTATCATACAAAAATCGAGAGGAGAAAATTTTCATGGATTACATTAATATTTTATAGAATTTCAGAATAATGTGCTTGCTTGTGCTTAACACTCTCCACTATTATTTCTTTATTATTCAGAGCCCATACACCCAAAATTAATGAGCAATTTAATTTACTGAAAGGTCTGCAGGTTTTTCTATTTCTAGTAAAATCTTGTAACTGTGCTGCCATGCAGTCGTTATAAAACTTTGATATTATCTTTCACTGCCTTGAGGGGAACTTGAATTCATATCTTTAAAATGTTCAAAACCTTGTGCAGAAAACATGGGAGAGGAATACGTAAATGCAGTGTTAGAAATTTTTGGGATGAAAAACATGATTTAGAAGTGATAATTTCATGAGCTGTAAACCACAAGTTTTGTGATCTGCCACAATTTGGTCAGTTACATTTTTGTGGCTGGCTGTAAAGTATGGTAGCAGATCATATATTTCTCAGCCATAATTGCACCAAGCCTGCTATAAAAAGGAAGTACTAAAACATTTTTTGAAATTATTAAATATTCAGAAACATTTTTGTATATAAATTTAAATGTATACATTTTAAATAAATTTCACTAGAAAGTTGGATTGCTAAAATGTCTCAACACTCCCTGAAATTTGTAAGATGCTCATTATATCATCAAAAGTGTACAATTTTTTGTGTTGTGTCCTTTGGTTTTTAAATTCTTCCCATGTGCAGTATTGTACTACTTTGTAGATTCCTTTTAGTAATATTTTGCCTGTATTTAGTTGATCCACAAATACTCTGATTTTAGTTTGTTCTAGGTATTGTGTATTATGAGTTTATTTTAAATGTAGTATGTCGTGATATAATTCTGAGTTTATTTTACTAACCATGATATTTATTTTAGTTTAATATATGTTTACATTTTTTATTCTACAAACTTTTAAATGTCATTTGATTCTTATGAAAAGGATTAGGTGGTTCATTTTTTTTTTTGTTAGTCATAAGACATTCATTTTTGAAATTATTGGCTTTTTCCCAATACTTTAAGGTATTAAATCTTTAGGTGCAGTAAAATATTTAGTAATTATTGCTGAGGTCATAATGTAATATTGTAAAATTTAATTGCATGCTGGTAAATGTACTGTATGCATTGAATGTTATAAAATATTGCTCTAGGTCTGAAAGTTCAAAATTGATTTAGTATTGCACATATTTTTAGTTGTCTTTTCCAGAATGTTCTGTTAAAATATACTGTACATATTTATTAGGCATGATAGGAGAAAACAATTATAGAAGTAATGCGTGTTCTTTAGAAGCTTAACAAATTTCTGTTAATCTTGGAATGCCATTTTCTCCATTGTAATGTAACATTTATATGTAGAGCCCAGATTTTTAAGAAATTATTTAGTAGGTATGTTTAAATTTTTGCTTAAAATGAAGGCAATTTCTATGTATCATAAGCATATTAATTTGTCTCTTAACCATGTTTGTTTATGAAGAGAGAAGTAATCTGTTTAAAAGACCTATTCTGAAATTTTTCATATTATTAATCAAAGCAAATTTCTTCTAAGCATGAATACTATAAATACTTCTATCATTTGTTGAAATAATTTAGAATGCTTGATGTAAAGGAGTAAAGTTCTGTGTATGTGTGGGGGAAAACAGATTTTTGTGTAAAAAATGAGGTAAAATATTAAAGTTTAATGTGATGTATGGTTTTTATGGAATCTAATGTAAATTGAAAATCATTTCTATTGTTATTGATTAATAAGAATATAAGCTAAAAAGAATAGGCATGTTTGTGTGTTATATTACCTATCCAGTGACTTTCAAACTTTTGTCAACTCAGGGAAACTTCTGTAACCTTTTTTTTTTTAAATTAAAAATCCTCACCATGCTCAGAAAAGTAAATGCAAAAATAAAATAGAAAATAGTGTTTTATGCCTTTTGTATGAAAAATGAAAAGAATATTTTTTAATTATAAAAATATTACTTAGTTTCATGCTGCTAGCCAGTTGGTATTCAAAAGTTCTCTGAATTTTGAATTTTTATTTTGATGTGAAGTTATAAAGCAAGAGAGTAAAATAAAAGGTATGCTTGATCTGAAGCATTTTCTTACATATATGCTAGTGCATGTTATATAATTCAAGACATGGAGCATAAATAGTAAAAAGCAAATTAATTTGTTTGAAGATTGTCAGTCACTGTATGATCTTAGTAATTTCAAAGTCATATATATCAATTTCACCTCACTGTCAGTTTCAAATGTACATGTTGTACTAGATTACAAAATCTTCCTGTCTAACTTGTCATGTAATTTGTTGCATAGGATGATTATTGTGCCTCCAAACTCAAAAACTAGTGCTAGGTACGCAGTTGGAAGATCACAGGTTTTGATGTCTATACAGTTCCCACTCTCCTGGAAAGCTAAGAAAATACATACTTTTCAGGAAGTCAGTGATATTATCATCCTTTCAAATAATAAGAGTTCATAATATACCGTAATTCTCACTTTAAAAAAGGGGGGAAGCCATCAAGACGTATTGTGATGTTTATTTTGTAGCACATAGTTTACCCACCTTATATTTGATAAGGTTTTATCAATTCTCTCCATCTCTTAGTAAGCTGTTGTTCACTTCTTGAGAAATATAACTTGATTTATTCCCCCTATCTTGAAAAATATAATTGCCTTTCAGAAGTAACATAGTTAAGAAATCAATGCATTATTCTTTGTTATGATCAATAACTTTTAATTAAAAACTTTTTAAAATCTAGTATAATTTTTAACCTCCTTAATTTTATTTTGAAATACCATAAGAATAATATATATAATAAGTAATTCGATGTACTTTTTTTTTTTTCGCTAAAAGAAGTTTTTCCGGTATTTGCTATTCCTTTTTTAAAAAGTTACTTTTTTCAATGGTTTCACTGTTAATTTAATTTGTTTTACTGTTATTAAATGCTGAGTTTAACCTTTTGGTGGTCATCAACAAGCCTAGCTAGCACTCCAGTAACACAACACAGTGGGCATGAATGAATACATCTTGCATTACAAATTTACAACTGACCAGTAATCTGCATATCTGCGGAGAAAGAATTGGTTGATCTCACAATCACCGAATGGTTAATAACCAAAAAGTAATATTATTTAAATTTTTATAAGACTTTTTTTGTTTCATTGAATTGTATTTTGTAGTAACTATTAAATTGTTCACTTACTCATACTTTAATAACTAGTTAATTATATTTAGTTAGAGGAATTATTTCTCCTTTTAATTGGAATTTAGCTAAATTAAAACTTGAATTTCAGTGGAAATACTGGGATACTTATTACTTAAAATCACCCTCATCCTAAGGGCCTATTTTAGTTACATCAAAAGAATGCTAAAGCATTGGCTAAGAATGTCAAAAATTAATGTAGCAAATATTTACTGTATCTCCAACAGAAACTTTGAAAAGTATTTTAGTGAAGATTCAAAATAAGTTCACATTATAAAAATCTGTTTCTAGAAAAGTTTACATTTTATAAATCTGTGCCTTAATTTTTTTTTAATATCTTGTTCAGTTGCTTTTTATTCAAAATAGGTTTTTGAATTTTATAATAATGATAAATCTAAAGGCATTTGTGTTACTAAGAGAATAAAAATTTGGAATAGTATAATAAATTCATCAGTTACATGGGAAGATAATTTAGTGCAGGCGAGGAGTAGAAAAACAAAAAAAGCCTTTCTTGGAAATGTTTTTTCCTTGCTAAAATTGCAGAATCTGATACTAATGGAAGACCAATGGAGTAAAAAGATTACCTGTGTGTATAAATAACGTAAGAGCTCAAATTTAAAACGGTACTTCAAAATGTAATGCTTGAAGTTCTAACATTCTTAAGTTCTTAAGTTTTAATTTCATTCTATTTAAGCTTCTTTTTACTTTTCTTCAGCTAGAATGCATGTCCTTTTAGACCTACATTCTAGCTGAGCTTTCATCCTCCATAGATTCAGAATAAATTCAGCTCAAATAAAACTGTTGAAATTTTATTAGCCTGAAAAATTCCACAAATTAAAAATCTGCAGAAATTATATCAGCAGCAGTATCTTTTTTCATTTATAAAGTACTCCACATTATAAGAGTGTGTATGTATCTTTGCTCTTCCTTCTAGTCTCTAAATAACTTGCTACCAGTAAGTCCAAATAAAGTGCTACTATTTGGTAGCTTTATGTTGTATTGACGAAAAGCCTAACCTGAAAGCACTGGGAAAAGTTGGAAGTATATATAATTTAACATTCTCTATTGATAAAAAGCAAATTAAAAGTTAATGAAATTTAATTGCAAACAAGTAAATGATTAATTATTGTTGCAATCTAATATACAATATCATTTAAATTCTGAGAGCGTATGTAAATCAAGTGCAAGTATCAAAATCCATGAATAAATATATAAGTCCAACAAATTTTTTAATCCTAAAAAATTTATAAAAATGCATAAGTGAATAATTGTTGAGCAGGCAGGAGACAGACTTGTCAAGGGGAAGTTGCCTCCAAACCTATCTTTTCAATTATTCAATTCGTGTTTCGTCAACCATGTAGGCAAGAGTAAAAGAAAAATTCAAAACCAAATGCTGTGAATTACTAAAGAAATTTAAACTAGTGGAATTTTGAGAAATTAGCAAGTAAACGAGTAGAATTAAAATAAAGATAGAAAACCAAAGTAATTTAGAAACTCTTGCCTACAGAAAACTTCCCGAACATGAATTATATAAATAAAAAAGAAACTATATTTGGATATATCATAAAGAAACTATATAACCAAGTTATCCATTCCAAAAATATTCTTTGGCAGAAAATTTTCAATTGCTGAAGTTTTAAAAATTGCTAATATATGGAATTATTGTGCTAGGAATGAAAACTTAGCAGCTTCTTGATAGTATCATATAATAAATGTGATTGAAAAATTTCGTTTTTAACACTCTCCTCATCACATTTATAGTTGATATGTCAGTGCTTCAACATCTTAATTTGGCAAGACACAATCTGTATGTGATAATATAGGAGTGACATATTGTCTCTTTTTATCAGAGTGTTTTCACTACTTAGCCTTCTTGAGAAATCATGAACAATACTTAGGCAACATATTTAATATGAAGAAATGCACAAAAAGAAGATTGTTTGTTCCTTCCACTTTCTTGGTATTCTCAGATTAGTTTTGTTCTAACTATAAGTACTTTATTGGGGAAAAAAAAAAAAAGTCATTATTTAGAGCATCATCATTGAATTATCAGCAGCAGTAACTGTCGACTTTACCCAGTCTACCATTACAAAGATGTCTCTTTCGAAGACAAACTTTTTTTGTCAAATACATCTTTTTTCCTTTGTCTAATAAAGTAAACGTCATAGCATATGCATAATTTAATATTTTATATTTAGTTAGAAAGTCAGTTTATTTATTTATTTTTTTATAAAATAGACTAGAAGAATGGATAGGACATTAATGAATTACTATATGATGTGTAATTTTGATGTAAGGCATTTATTTTATATGTTAAAAGAAAATACTTCTCTCACAAGCAAAGTTATGCATGGTTTATCCAACATGAAAACTTTAGTAACTGATTATCTGGGCTCTGCTGAGAAATATTGAAATTTTTTACAGGTATTTATTATGTTCAATATTAAATCATTCTAATATAAAATGTTAATTTCAATTGTTCTAATGTCCTCTATTAATAAATTATTTTTTAATTAATGCAGATTCTGTAAAGTGTTATCAGTGTAATTAATTTTTATCATTTGTGTCATTTCTTTAAAATATTTTTATTTTACATTGTGACAAAGTTCATTGCATTTCCCCTATTATTACTTCCTATGTCCTTTATCAAAATAAGAAATGATGGAAAATAATATTTCGCTGAAATATTATATACATATGTTGATATGGATACTAATAAAGAATTAAATTTTTATGCATTTTTGCTTTTATTACTTCAGAATTTATGATGTATTATGACTAGGTTACATCCATTGAAGAAAAATATTATTCTGAATAAAAATATTTTGCTTTGGTCACTTCTTAACACACTAATATTTTCACCAGCTGATCTGATCAAGTACACAAACTTTTGTTGCAAAGACTCAAATTGATATACCTGATTTAAAAATGTCATGTTAAAATAAGAAGTTTCTATGCTAATAAATAATATATATTCTCATTTTATTTATATAATAATAGTTTGAATATGTAAATTAAAATATTTCATAAACAAGAACTGTAGAAAAGTCTAATTTAGAGAAATTTGCTACATTATTCAAACTGAAATATGGAAATAAAAGTGTATGTGCATTTTTCACATAATTAAATTTTTATTTGGTGATTAAAGAATTTCTTTGAAATTACATAACTAAACTAGTGTCCTGATCTTAAGATAAGAAGTTGGAAAATTTCTAGGAATGGAGTCTTATGATTGCAGGCTCCTTATGTGTAGTTTTGACATTTTCTTCTATGTTTTATGCACTTTATGTATGCTTTTGCCAGAAGTTCATTTCTATTTGAAAACTAATACTTCAGTATTAGCCGAAAATAATGAAACACGTTTTACTACTAGTTGAAACTGCAAAGAATTAATTTCCCCCCTCCCTACAATTTCAAATTATCCGTTACTAACATTACTTCCTATAAATATGCAGCTTGTAAATTAACTTTTAATATTTATTCAAATATATGGCTATGGTCTAGTTTTTAAATTTAATAATTACAGTTTTACAAGGTAAATAATTTCTCTATATTTTATATGCAGTATGCTTTTTTGCATTTTAATTTATTCAGAGTTAGTTAATTTTGTTAATGCTGTAAATTATTTTATCCTTAAGTATTCCATAATTTGTTGTGATCCTTTTTTTTTTTTTTTTTTTTTTTTTGGCTTATAAATTATTCTATGGAAATTAATTT